GGTTTGTTAAAATCAGTTAGCACATATGAGGTTGTTTGTTCAGACCCCCTTTGCCTCATGGCTACATAATTATTCGAAGTGAGATTCTCGATAGATGCCTTTCTATGAGAACGGCACAAAATTGTAATATGTCTTTGATCCTAATTAACTATTAGTTTGTCGGATGATTTCAACTTGCTATATCCCAACATACCTTTTTGTGTACCAAAAACTGTAGGAGAAGCCCTAACAGTCTATATCTCTGCATGTATATTGAAATGTAGATCGTTTCTATAGCGTTCGGACAAATGGTAGTTTGCAGGTTGAGGAGGATGTTCATTGATGATAGCGCCCAGAAGTGGGTTTAATTTCTATTGCAGCGTGTCTCTGTGCTTAGTTCAGTTTTCCTTGATCTACTTCCAGTTAATTCCTTCTCGTGTTGTGATGTTAGGGGACATACTTAACTATCGTTGATTTCCGGAGCCTGTTGATTTTCGGGAGATAGGGTATCTACTTTTAGGTCCTTTTTGTTCTCCTGATCAAGGTTGTGGTCTGTGCACGACTACTGAATTACCAAGGAGTTTCTTTTGGACGGAAAGAAAAAAAATCTAACGCTCTGTATTATGTGTTCATCTATTTTCTGCTTGCATTAGCCTTATGAATCAGAAAGCATATCCTGGTGTTCAATCACAATTGATGCTGCGGTGTATCCATACAAGCCTAATGGGCCAATACGCGGATAATTGACGCTCATCTACAATCTTCTTTTCTAACTGCGGTGTTATTTCTGCTACAATAATTGAACATTTTGGTATTACTAAAAATATAAATTCTGGTAGTTATAAATGATACCTCCCTGTTTGATCTCGGCAAGAACATATGTTCAATGTCACACATCCTGAGTCTGATGTCTGAACCATGCAATCTCTTCTTAGGATTGGAAATATGTGTCAGTCTCCTTGCCAACGGATCGGGTGCCTCGAGAAGGATCAAGCAGGGTGGAAGATTTATTTTGGCTTGTTTGCGTCGAGCAGAGGGGAATGAAGGAGAAGCCATGCTCACAAGGATAGAAGATTCAAGCCTAGGCCCATTGGTCTCGAGTTGCATGCATGCATGGCATGACGGTGTGTCGCCCATTAGGCAGTGTCCAGACACTAAAGAGGCATGCACGGACACGTGCAGGACCTGCCTTCCTTATGTTAAACAAGTCGACAACATTACAAGATAAGCAACCACACGCGTGTAGGGAGTATCTTGTGGAGGACGGATCTCATGTCCAGCCCGATGAGATTAGTTTTAAAGTTTAAACATTCTTGCGCAGAAGCAGTTCAGTGACAAGTTTGTTGTATGGTGGCAAGCTCATCGCCTTGGGAGTGACCACGTTCGGATGAGTTGATATCAGGTGGACACCTTGGCCATAGTTTGTTTGTGATGACATGAAGAAGGATAATCGACAACACGGGTGGTATGCCGTGTCGAAAACGAAGAGTGGACATGTGGGTGTATTGACCCATGCTTACAGGGTTAGGGACGTATGATTTTTTTTGTCACCCGGTGCAACCCACGGGCATGTTTGCTAGTCAAAATAAAGAGGCTTAAATGAAACACTCGTAATCGATAAATCACGAGTGAATATAGTACCACGCGAGGAGGAAATCAACACCGTTCGCTCCCACGTGATTCGTGCACTTACTGTACAACAAGCTTGTATATTGATTTCCCGGCAGCGTATTGTTTCTGTATTAGCTATGCCATCGCAATCATATGTCCCACAAGTCAGTCGCACGCAACAAAGTCAGACACACTGAATCCCTCATCAATTACAATGGCTACCTGTAGTACAGGGTGAATTAATATTCTGCCAGTGCATTGATAATGCATGCACCCTCCTTAATGCTTGACACAGACCGTGGCATCAATATTATAAAACAATAAACATCTCAGATGAACTTTATAGTTGGATTAGCATAAAAACTTGTATGAGTTGGATTGCTTAAGCACTTTTAAGTGGGAATGGTAATTTCGTAACATAATTTCATTGGCTGCCTATTAAAAAATATCTATTTTGAAACATTTTCAAAAATAGATTTTAAAACACATATGTCTTAGTTAATGTTCTTCAAAATTCATTTTCTTACATATCTTGAAGGGCCAAAAAAATAACATGAAATTATTTTTCTCATTCAACTTGCAATTCATATTTCAATGCAAATTCACAAAAAGCTCAGTTTGCAGTTAGTCGTCTCACAAGCCGAAAGTTTGTATGGGCACGTGCTTACTTTGTTGTAGTTAAAACCTATTTGGAAATGGGACAAAACACGTGCCCGTGTTTAAGCTGCATAACCCCAAGTTCACAATCATGCCACTGATGAGCAAGTGATTAAGTGAATACTAACAATGCATGTCATAGAAAGAAAAAAAAACATGCATCAAATTAAATCACTCTAACATAACAAAAGTCAAATTTCATCATAATCATGTTAGACCTCACCAGCATTTCACAACCAGTCATCTTAAATGGTCTCATCAAGATGTTGCCTCTCCCCAGCCCAGCAACATAGAGAAGTTCATGAATAAAGGTTTGGTCATACTATCCAATTCATTTAAGATGCCCAACCACCAACTAATATACACGTATTTGCTGAATTAACCTACTGTGGTGTTTATGTATTTATTTAATCACTATATTAAATGCTAATCTCACAGCATGCATGGACAGCCGAGATTTCATCCTCGCGTGGCACCATGTCCCAAAAATCCGCGTCCCATTCGTAATCGCCTATTAAGCTGAAGCTCTACAGTATCTTCTCGCAAGAAAACAAGCTCTACAGTATCGACTATAAAGAGTCGATCCTTCCTTAAAGAAAAAATATCCTTAAAAAATGGACAAGCTAACGTCCACACGTGTGGTGGGAGTCAAACCCGTCCACACGGCCACACGTCCTACAACACATAGACTGCGCCACGTCATTGCATGCATGCATGTGAAAATCTTTTTGGATTTTCAGTTTTTAAAATGTTTTATCTCTTAAATGAAAAATCAAATTGAAGATCCGTTTTCACCTTTAAATCCATCGCGACGAGATCTTCAAAATTAGATCTCATATCAATATATTTTGATGATTTTTTTGGGTTAAAAGTTGCTATGTCTATTGCATATGAATTTTCATGATGTTTACACTGAAATTACCATGATATATTTCAACTATTTTCTTTTACATTTAAAAGTAAATTTTGACATATTATAAAATGGGAAATTAAGAAACTAGACTTGCCATGAATTATAAATTAAAATTGCCATGATACGTGCACTTAAAATTGCCATGGTTCATATAAAAAATAATTTTCATGCTCAAAGTATTGGAATTACCATCATAAAAAAACTAAAATTGCCATGCTCTACAAACTAAAATTGCCACATGGTAACTTTAGTTTAAGCACTATGCTAACTATAGTATAAACATCATGGCAACTTTTGAGGAAAAAAAAATTATCGAAACATATCAACATAGGGTCTAGTTTTGAAGATCTCATCGAGATGGATTTAATGGTGAAAACAGATTTTTAATTCGATTTTTTAATTAGGAGATAAAACATTTTTAAGCCAAAAACCAAAAAAATTCCGCTGATATCATCTGTTCATACGTGGCAAAATGAGTGATGATGAAGGCGTACGGGCGACGTGCAAGATTCCACACGTATGAGCGTTAGTTTTTTTCGTAAAAAATGAAAATAAAGGAAAACATAATAAGAATGAAAAGAAACGAAACACAACCGTGTACCGGGTCGCCAGGAGGGAGATATACCTGCATATGCGGAAGCAGGGCCGGTGATACAACATCTCGTTACGTGCCGTTCCGTGTCACCGGGATAAATCTCCTACTAGTTTTTTTTACCTGATCACAGCACTCTACTCAACGGCCTGCGCAGTTATTGCGACCACCACGACCCGTGCAAGCTAACTCCACACGATCCACGAAACGTCGCGCGCGAGCCACAGTACGTGCAGCAGCGCGCATGTGGCAGGCCACGCATATCCCGGCCGGCCGGCCTAACGTGAGACTCTGGACCGCGCGGAGACGGAATGGCGTCTACAGGGAGGGGATCGGGCCGGCAGAGCTGCCCGGAATCGCGCCTTCTGCCGCTCGCCGCATGCAGGGGGACTGCCGGACCGCGGGGGCGGCGGCGGCCGGGAGCGGGTCCGCAGGAGGCTTCCGTCCGATCGGGGCAACGGACGGAGGAGCGATGATCGGGGGGAGTTGACGGGCACAGGATTCGGCGGCGGCTGATGGGTACGTGCGCGTGGATTTTGGGTAAGGCGGCAGGTTTGTTTTTTGACCCTGGAGGGAGGAAGGAGAGGGAGAGCCGTCCCGGGATTACCAAGAGCGCTCGCCACGTATCTTATGTGCCCAACCGAAATAACGGTCCCGGAATTGCCTTGTATATGTGGGTATCACTGAAATAAATTTAGAGTACTGTAGATTAGAGATTGACAAGAATGGGTGTTGTATGAACTTTAAATCACGTTGGAGTACATGCATGCTACCAAAAACTGGTTCCAGCCGAAGGTTATTTACTCATTTCACTGGCTATGTACTACGTCTAATACAGAATGCAGAAACAAAAAGGCAGGTTAAGTATAGTACGGCTTGGAAGTGCCAATTTGACATGGTCCCGATCGATCGAATTAAGGATCGAACAAGTGAGCTCCACACAAAGTACCCGCCCTATGTACTACTACCGCTAGCTAGGTTGCTAGGTACGTGCTAGTTAAGTAAATATGTACTCCTAATCACATTTCAAATGGACATAACATGTTGACTTTAGCCATGTGCCACAATCCGACGGAGCCACCGAGATCCGTTTGCATGCATGCATGTGGATGCTCACGGAGCCACAGGCCACCGTTTTGCTGCCTATAAATAGATCGCATCCATACACCCAACATAACACACACCATTCCTCATCTACTTGCCTGCTCCCAATCCTTGCAAAGCCCACGACTCATAGCAACTTTAGCGATGGCTTCCAAGCTCCAGCTCCCGCGCTCCTTCATTGCAATTGTGGTTCTCGCGACGGTTATCCACCCTTGCACATCCGTTGAGTTTCACCGCAAGCTCGCCAGTTGGTCTAATGCCGGCGCGACATGGTATGGCGCCGCTAATGGGGCTGGGAGTGATGGTATGTATACTTTGCAAACTGATGAGGGTTGTAATTCACTTCATTGATCACCATATTTACTTTCCAAACTGATCTATGTTAAAAAAGAAAGTATAGTCAAGCTAGAATCGATCATAGCTCATGTTTTAACATAAAATCATACATATCATGCTAATTTACATACGTGTACAGGTGGTGCGTGCGGGTACAAGGGCGCCGTCGACCAGCCACCGTTTTCGTCCATGATCGCCGCCGGCGGCCCTTCCCTCTACGCATCTGGCCTTGGCTGTGGATCTTGCTACCAGGTGCATGCATGATCGGTGCCCCTTATGAAACAGACTAATAAAAACTATTAGGTCTAGCATGCATGCGTGGTTTGTGACCTTTTGTCCTACGTATTAATTTAGGTGAAATGCACTGGTAACACCGCGTGCTCGAGCAGCCCGGTGACGGTCGTCATCACAGACCAGTGCCCCGGCGGCCCTTGCTTGGAAGAGCCGCACTTCGACCTGAGCGGGACGGCGTTCGGTGCCATGGCGAAGCCCGGCCAGGCCGACCAGCTGCGCGCCGCGGGTGTCCTCCAAATCCAGTTCACCCGGTACGCCCGCATCAGTGCACACTCTAACACTGCCCCGCTTGAAACGGCCAGGGTGCTACATGCCACATGCACCTCACGCGCCGTTGGAGCACACCTAATGATTGTTACCTTTGTCGCCATGGATAGACCACGGGCCGGCACATGTACTGTTTTCCATGCATAACTGAGATGCATCGATCGAGCTGTGTCCTTGATCCTCCGTGTTACTAACTGGTTTTTCATTACTCCGCATGTCATGTACAGAGTGCAGTGCAACTGGGATGGAGTGAAGCTAACCTTCGTCGTGGACGCCGGCTCGAACCCGAACTACTTGGCCGTGCTCGTCCAGTACCAGAACGGCGACGGGAACCTCTCGGGCGTCGAGCTCATGCAGAGCGGTGCGGCGGCGGCATGGACGCCGATGCAGCACTCGTGGGGCGCTGTCTGGAAGCTCGACGCCGGGTCGGCGCTGCAGGCGCCGCTCTCCCTCCGCCTCACGTCCAGCTCTGGCAAGAAGCTCGTCGCCAGCAACGTCATCCCGCTTGGGTGGAAGGCCGGCTCTGCGTACCAGTCGGCGGTCAATTACTAATCCACGGCGAGATGGTGCAACATGTGTGTGTGTGTGTGTGGTAGTTCGATGTGTAGCGCGCTGTGCTACTACGAAGAACTGAAATAACGGCGAGACGGCCGTTGAGGAGGAGGCGCTGCAAATGGGTATAGATCTCCCCTGTTGGCCGTTTAGTCAATGTTTATGTGGACGTGTAAAACATGTAATGACAGCTCGCTGCACTCTATCAGTGCCTAATACGTGCAATATATATGTGGTTTTGTTAATGCATGCGATGTGCTGCGTACCAGTGTATGTTTAATTTTGTTTATCCATGCATGTTCCTAGTCAATATACAGCCCTACAGTTCGGAATTTTTTATTTTATTTCCTAGAACTATTTATTTTTCTTAACTAGACATGGAAACTATTGAAAATGCCTCGAATGGTACAAGGCGACAAAAGGGTGCAACAATCAAGTCACATCAGTTTGTATGATCATTTGGGTCAGGATGGGCAGCTTTCTCAGGCTCAAATTCAAAAAAAATGTTTAAAACATGTATTTTAAAAATGTAATAATGTATTTAAAAATGTTCATTGAGTACAAACAAATGTTTCAGAAGTATATAAATTTTTTACAATGTGTGTTGAAAAAGTTAGACAAGTATCAGAAAAATAGATAATAAAATAAAATCAGAAGAAGGCAATGAAAACCATAAAGAAAACCTACAAAATAGAAGGAAAAAAATGAAAACTAAAGAAAACCTGTCAGGACCCCGATCCTGTGCCACACCGACCTAGCATGTAACACCTCATATCCCTTTCCGGCCTCACGCACGGTATTCCCACAGGTGTCGCCTTACCAGGCCCGGGACCGTTTGCGCCTTTTGGCTCACGTATATGATAGCGTTGCTAGCATCCATATGACAAAAAACCCGGGCTCACATGGCTAGTCGTAAACCCAAAGTGACACTAACTTACAGGGACAGGCATACATGACCCAACAACGAACGTGTCGGTCATCAGCGAGTGAATCCGGGCTGTAGCAGGCTAACAGGACTCCGGTAGACACCGCGTGACATTTCACCGAAGGGACAGACACAGGAACGAAGAATGACACATGCCGGCCAGCCTAAGTGTTCCGGAGCAGTAGCAAGCTACCAAGGCTTAGTGGAAGCACTAGGAGACATTTCCCGGTAAGAGAGGCTACCAAGGATAAACAACTAGATAGTCAGATCCCACACATACCAAGCATTTCAATAACATACACACAATATGCTCGATATGTGCAAATACAACATGGCATCACAACATGACTCTACAACTCAAGTATTTATTCAATAGGCTTCAGGGAGCGAGATATTACAAACATGGGTCTCACGACCCAACATTCAGAACATACAAGTCAAAGCACATGCGGAAGCTTAACATGTCTGAGTACACACAACTACAAATGAAAAAGGTGAGAAGCCTGACTATCTAGCAAATCCTGCCGAGGCACAAGATCGTAGCTGAGGTAACAAGCTAAACGTCGAAGTCCACGTGGAACTACTAGTGAGACTAAAGTCTCTCTGCAAAAACATAAAATGGCAAACGTGAGTACAAATGTACCCAACAAGACTTACATCAGAACTATCTACATATGCATCATTATCAACAAAGGGGATGGTGGGGTTTAACTGCAGCAAGCCAGCTTTGACTCGGTGGCTATCCTGAACTACGACTGCAAGTAACTCTTTCGAGGTGGCGCACACGAGTCCACATATTCACCATATCAATACACCACTATGGATCCGCTCCCGTCTCCCTACGAGAACGCCATCCATAGCACTCACGCTTATCTTGCGTATTTTAGAGTATCCACTTTCACTTGTCTATGAACTGTTATAGGCAACACAGAAGTCCTTTACCGTGGACACGGCTATTCAAATAGATGATGTTAACCCTGCAGGGGCGTATTTCTTCATACATGTTTCCACCACTTAGCGTCTGCACACGACATGTGCTCGGCAGACTTCAAGCGAAAGCCGATGTGGGTGTAGACCACGACCTACCTAAACACTCAAGTCTCTAGTCCAGGTTTATCGCCTATTCAGGTTCCATCCGCAGGGAGTCCGGCCGAAGTTTCCCCATACGGCCCGAACGATGTGTGCAGGGTTCCCGAGACACCAAACGGGCGCCCGGTACACCGTGCCATGTGCCTACCGCATCACAGCCCACCCATCCGGTCAGCGCCGCGCACGGCCTCCAGCATACTACAAACACCAGAAACTACTTGCAACTCCTGGACAAAGGACAAGGGTGATTAAGAAGTCGAGCGGGGTCATATTTCAGGGCCCAATGCATGGTAGTAGTTGTTTCATGGATCACAAACACAGAACTCAGTTCCTGAGGACGGCTTCAATGAGACAACCCACCATGTACTCCTACATGGCCTCTCACCGCTACCTTTACCAAATCGTGTTCACACACTTAGTTCACACACAGTAGGACATGTTCACACACCTCTGATTCATCCCCGATGAATCAGACCTGACTCAACTCTAAGCAGTAGCAGGCATGACAAACAAGCATGAATGAGTAGGCACAACAGGGCTCAAACAACTCCTACTCATGCTAGTGGGTTTCATCTATTTATTGTGGCAATGACAGGTCATGCAGAGGATAAAGGGGTTCAGCTACCGCAGCAAGTGACAGAAGAATCGTTGTTGTCCTAATGAAGTAAAAGAGAGCAGGAGCGAGAGAGTAGGATTGTATCGGAATGAACAAGGGGGTTTTGCTTGCCTGGCACTTCTAAAGATAGTATAGTTCTCCATCGAGGTCATCAAACTCATCCTCGGAACCACGTCTATCGAGAGGGGACAAACACCGGCAAACAAGGAAGAACACAATCAATGCAATGCACAATATGATGCATGATCATGACATGTCAATATGCTGTGATTTGAGCTAATGCAGCTAGCAACAGATTAAATGGAGTTGGTTTGAATCCAAGATTCAAATTCAAACTCCATATGTGGATATTCAAATGCCATTCATTTCATTTGTCCTAAACAGTAGTCATAAGTTGTTCTAACATGCATGAAAATGGTACAGATGGATAGATTGGATTTTTCTGATCATTTTTCATATATAATTTATCTTATTTGGAGTCACGGTTGAATTTATATGAATTTTAGAAGTTTTGGATATTTTGTGAAATTCCTGAATTAAAAATAAATCCAGAAAAGGTTATCTGCGTCAGCATGACGTCGGGGTGACGTCAGCAGGTCAAAGGCGCCAGCCAAGGTCAAACCTGACGGCTGGGACCCACATGTCAGTGTCTAACTAATTAACCTGAGTTAATTAGCTCTAAACTAATACTAAACTAGACCAGTTAAGGCCCTGGTCCCACATGTCAGTATTAACAGGGCTAATTATGTTTAGTTAGCACTTAACCTAAATTAGCAGGGGCACGTGCCCACCTGTCAGCGACCCTAGGGAAGTCAAACAGGGTCAAAACACGGGTTAGTGGGGTCAAACCCATCGGCGACATGACGCCGGCGAGGCCAGCCATGGTGGCAAGCCTCGGGTTTGCGTCTCTGGCAACCAAACGGCCGGCCGAGGGCATCTACGTGATGCGGACACACGTCCGCATCGAGTGGTGGTGGCGGTTGGGCCTGGGTGTTGGAAATATGCCATAGAGGCAATAATAAAAGGATTATTATTATATTTCCTTGTTCATGATAATTGTCTTTTATTCATGCTATAATTGTATTATCCGGAAATCGTAATACACGTGTGAATACATAGACCACAACATGTCCCTAGTGAGCCTCTAGTTGACTAGCTCGTTGATCAACAGATAGTCGTGGTTTCCTGACTATGGACATTGGATGTCATTGATAACGAGATCACATCATTAGGAGAATGATGTGATGGACAAGACCCAATCCTAATCATAGCACAAGATCGTGTAGTTCGTTTCCTAGAGCTTTTCCAATGTCAAGTATCTTTTCCTTAGACCATGAGATCATGTAACTCCCAGACACAGTAGGAGTGCTTTGGGTGTACCAAACGTCACAACATAACTGGGTGACTATAAAGGTATACTACGGGTATCTCCGAAAGTGTCTGTTGGGTTGACACAGATCGAGACTGGGATTTGTCACTCCGTATGACGGAGAGGTATCTCTGGGCCCACTCGGTAATGCATCAGCATATTGAGCTCAAAGTGACCAAGTGTCTGGTCACGGGATCATGCATTACGGTACGAGTAAAGTGACTTGCCGGTAACGAGATTGAACGAGGTATTGGGATACCGACGATCGAATCTCGGGCAAGTAACATACCGATTGACAAAGGGAATTGTATACGGGGTTGCTTGAATCCTCGACATCGTGGTTCATCCGATGAGATCATCGAGGAGCATTTGGGAGCCAACATGGGTATCCAGATCCCGCTATTCGTTATTGACTGGAGAGCCGTCTCGGTCATGTCTACGTGTCTCCCGAACCCGTAGGGTCTACACACTTAAGGTTCGGTGACGCTAGGGTTGTAGAGATATCTGTATGCAGCAAACTGAGAGTTGTTCGGAGTCCCGGATGAGATACCGAACGTTACGAGGAGTACCGGAATGGTCCGGACGTAAATAATTATATATGGGAAGTCGAGTTTCGACCATCGGGAAAGTTTCGGGGGTCACCGGTATTGTACCGGGACCACCGGAAGGGTCCCGGGGGTCCACCGGGTGGGGCCACCCATCCCGGAGGGCCCCATGGGCTGAACTGGGAGGGGAACCAGCCCCTGGTGGGCTGGTGCGCCCCCCCCTTGGGCCCCCTGCGCCTAGGGTTGGGAACCCTAGGGGAGGGGGCGCCTCCACTTGCCTTGGGGGGCAAGGCACCCCCCTTGGCCGCCGCCCCCCCTAGGAGATCCCATCTCCTAGGGCCGCCGCCCCCTGGGGACCCTATATATAGAGGGGGGAGGGAGGGCAGCCGCACCCTTGCACTTGGCGCCTCCCTTCCCCCTTGCTACACCTCTCCCTCCCGCAGACGCTTGGCGAAGGCCAGCCGGGATCCCTGCTGCATCCACCACCACACCGTCGTGCTGCTGGATCTTCATCAACCTCTCCTTCCCCCTTGCTGTATCAAGAAGGAGGAGACGTCACGCTGACCGTACGTGCGTTGAACGCGGAGGTGCCGTCCGTTCGGCGCTAGGATCTCCGGTGATTTGGATCATGATGAGTACGACTCCCTCAACCCCGTTCTCTTGAACGCTTCCGCTCGATTTACAAGAGTATGTAGATGCACTCCTCTCTATCGTTGCTAGATGAACTCATAGATTGATCTTGGTGAAACCGTAGGAAATTTTTTATTTTTTGCAACGTTCCCCAACAGTGGCATCATGAGCCAGGTTTATGCGTAGTCTCTTTGCACGAGTAGAACACAAATCTGTTGTGGGCGTAGATGTTGTCAACTTTCTTGCCACTACTAGTCTTATTTTGCTTCAGCGGTATTGTGGGATGAAGCGGCCCGGACCGACCTTACACGTACGCTTACGTGAGATAGGTTCCACCGACTGACATGCACTAGTTGCATAAGGTGGCTAGCGGGTGTCTATCTCTCCCACTTTAGTTGGAGCGGATTCGATGAAAAGGGTCCTTATGAAGGGTAAATAGAAGTTGACAAATCACGTTGTGGCTTTTTCGTAGGTAAGAAAACGTTCTTGCTAGAACCCTATTGCAGCCACGTAAAAGATTCAACAACAATTAGAGGACGTCTAACTTGTTTTTGCAGCAATTGCTTTGTGATGTGATATGGCCAAAAGTTGTGATGAATGATGATATATTGTGATGTATGAGATCATGTTCTTGTAATAGGAATCACGACTTCCATGTCGATGAGTATGACAACCGGCAGGAGCCATAGGAGTTGTCTTAATTATTATATGACCTGCGTGTCAATGATTTAACGCCATGTAATTACTTTACTTTATTGCTAAACCATTAGCTATAGTAGAAGAAGTAATAGTTGGCGAGCAACTTCATGGAGACACGATGATGGAGATCATGGTGTCATGCCGGTGACGAAGATGATCATGGAGCCCCGAAGATGGAGATCAGAGGAGCTATATGATATTGGCCATAGCATGTCACTACTATTTGATTGCATGTGATGTTTATCATGTTTTTTCATCTTGTTTACTTAGAACGACGGTAGTAAATAAGATGATCCCTCATAATAATTTCAAGAAAGTGTTCCCCCTAACTGTGCGTTGTTGTGACAGTTTGTTGTTTCGAAGCACCACGTGATGATCGGGTGTGATAGATTCTAACGTTCACATACAACGGCTGTAAGACAGATTTACACATGCAAAACACTTAGGTTAACTTGACGAGCCTAGCATGTACAGACATGGCCTCGGAACACAAGAGACCGAAAGGTCGAACATGAGTCGTAGGAAAGATACGATCAACATGGAGATGTTCACCGATGATGACTAGTCCGTCTCACGTGATGATCGGACACGGCCTAGTCGACTCGGATCATGTAACACTTAGATGACTAGAGGGATGTCTAATCTGAGTGGGAGTTCATTAAATAATTTGATTAGATGAACTTAATTATCATGAACTTAGTCTAAAATCTTTGCAAAAATGTCTTGTAGATCAAATGGCCAACGCTCATGTCAACATGAACTTCAACGCGTTCCTAGAGAAAACCAAGCTGAAAGATGATGGCAGCAACTATACGGACTGGGTCCAGAACCTGAGGATCATCCTCATAGCTGCCAAGAAAGCATATGCCCTAGAAGGACCGCTAGGTGAAGCACCCATCTCAGAGAACCAAGACGTTATGAACGCTTGGCAGTCACGTGCTGATGATTACTCCCTCGTTCAGTGCGACATGCTTTACAGCTTAGAACCGGGGCTCCAAAAGCGTTTTGAGCAACATAGAGCATATGAGATGTTCGAGGAGCTGAAAATGGTTTTCCAAGCTCACGCCCGGGTCGAGAGATATGAAGTCTCCAACAAGTTCTATAGTTGTAAGATGGAGGAAAATAGTTCTGTCACTGAGCACATACTCAAAATGACTGGGTTGCACAACCGCCTGTCCCAGCTAGACATTAACCTCCCGAACGAGGCAGTCATTGACAGAATCCTTCAGTCACTCCCACCAAGCTACAAGAGCTTTGTGATGAACTATAATATGCAGGGGATGGTGAAAACTATTCCTGAAGTATTTTCAATGCTGAAGTCAGCAGAGGTAGAAATCAAAAAGGAACATCAAGTGTTGATGGTCAATAAAACCACTAAGTTCAAGAAAGGCAAGGGTAAGAAGAACTTCAAGAAGGACGACAAGGATGTTGCCGTGCCCGGTAAGCCAGTTGCCGGGAAGAAGTCAAAGAATGGACCCAAGCCTGAGACTGAGTGCTTTTATTGCAAAGGGAAGGGTCACTAGAAGCGGAACTACCCCAAATACTTAGCGGACAAGAAGGCCGGCAACACTAAAGGTATATGTGATATACATGTAATTGATATGTACCTTACCAGTGCTCGTAGTAGCTCCTGGGTATTTGATAATGGTGCCGTTGCTCATATTTGTAACTCAAAGCAGGAGCTGCGGAATAAGAGGAGACTGGCGAAGGACGAGGTGACGATGCACGTCAGGAATGGTTCCAAGGTCCATGTGATCGCCGTCGGCACGCTACCTCTACATTTACCCACGGGATTAGTTTTAAACCTCAATAATTGTTATTTAGTGCTAGCTTTGAGCATGAACATTGTATCTGGATCTCGTTTAATGCGAGATGGCTACTCATTTAAATCCGAGAATAATGGTTGTTCTATTTATATGAGAGATATGTTTTATGGCCATGCCCCGCTGGTCAATGGTTTATTCTTAGTGAATCTCGAACGTAATGTTACACATATTCATAGTGTGAATACCAAAAGATGTAAGGTTGATAACGATAGTCGCACGTACTTGTGGCACTGCCGCCTTGGTCACGTTGGTGTCAAGCGCATGAAGAAGCTCCATGCTGATGGGCTTTTAGAGTCTCTCGATTATGAATCATTTGACACATGCGAACCATGCCTCATGGGCAAAATGACCAAGACTCCTTTCTCCGGAACAATGGAGCGAGCAACCAACTTATTGGAAATCATACATACTGATGTGTGCGGTCCAATGAGCGTTGAGGCTCGTGGAGGATATCGTTATGTTCTCACTCTCACTGATGACTTAAGTAGATATGGGTATGTCTACTTGATGAAAGACAAGTCTGAGACCTTTGAAAAGGTCAAGGAATTTCATAATGAAGTAGAGAATAAACGTGACCGAAAGATAAAGTTCTTGCGATCAGATCGTGGAGGAGAATATTTAAGTCACAAATTTGGTACGCACTTAAGAAAATGTGGAATCGTTTCACAACTCACGCCGCCTGGAACACCTCAGTGTAATGGTGTGTCCGAACATCGTAATCGCACTCTATTGGATATGGTGCGATCTATGATGTCTCTTACCGATTTACCGCTATCATTTTGGGGATACGCTCTAGAGACAGTTGCATTCACTTTAAATAGGGCTCCGTCTAAATCCGTTGAGACGACACCGTATGAATTATGGTTTGGGAAGAAACCTAAGCTGTCGTTTCTAAAAGTTTCGGGATGCGATGCTTATGTCAAGAAACTTCAACCTGAAAAGCTCGAACCCAAATCGGAAAAATGCGTCTTCATAGGATACCCTAAGGAAACCATTGGGTATACCTTCTACCTTAGATCCGAAGGCAAGATCTTTGTTGCCAAGAACGGATCCTTTCTGGAAAAAGAGTTTCTCTCGAAAGGAGTAAGTGGGAGGAAAGTAGAACTCGATGAAGTACTACCTCTTGAACCAGATAGTAGTGCAGCTTAGGAAAATATTCATGTGGTGCCTACACTGACTGGAGAGGAAATTAATGATGATGATCAAGGTACTTCAGATCAAGTTGCTACTGAACTTTGTAGGTCCACAAGGACACATTCCACACTAGAGTGGTATGGCAACCCTATCCTAGAAATCATGTTGTTAGACAACGGTGAACCTTCGAACTATGAAGAAGCGATGGCGGGCCCAGATTCCAACAAATGGCTTGAAGCCATGCAATCCGAGATATAATCCATGTATGAAAACAAAGTATGGACTTTGACAGACTTGCCCGATGATCGGCGAGCGATAGAAAACAAATGGATCTTTAAGAAGAAGACGGACGCGGATGGTAATGTTACCATCTATAAAGCTCGACTTGTCACTAAGGTTTATCGACAAGTTCAAGGGGTTGACTAGGATGAGACTTTCTCTCCCGTAGCGAAGCTGAAGTCCGTCTGAATCATGTTAGCAATTGCCGCATACTATGATTATGAGATATGGCAGATGGACGTCAAAACGGCATTTCTTAACGACTATCTTAAGGAAGAACTGTATATGATGCAGCCGGAAGGTTTTGTCGACCCTAAGAATGCTAACAAGGTATGCAAGCTCCAGCGATCCATTTATGGACTGGTGCAAACATCTCGGAGTTGGAACATTCGCTTTGATGAGATGATCAAAGCATTTTGGTTTATGCAGACTTATGGAGAAGCCTGCGTTTACGAGAGAGTGAGTGGGAGCTCTGTAGCATTTCTCATATTATATGTAGATGACATACTTCTGATGGGAAATGATATAGAACTTTTGGACAGCATAAAGGCCTACTTGAATAAGTGTTTTTCAATGAAGGATCTTGGAGAAGCTGCTTACATATTAGGCATCAAGATCTATAGGGATAGATCGAGACGCCTCATAGGTCTTTCACAAAGCACATACCTTGATAAGATATTGAAGAAGTTCAATATGGATCAGTCCAAGAAAGGGTTCTTGCCTGTATTGCAAGGTGTGAGATTCAGCTCGGCTCAATGCCCGACCACGGCAGAAGATAAAGAAGAGATGAGTGTCATCCCCTATGCCTCAGCCATAGGATCTATCATGTATGCCATGCTGTGTACCAGACCTGATGTAAACCTTGCCGTAAGTTTGGTAGGAAGGTACCAAAGTAATCCCGGCAAGAAACACTGGACAGTGGTCAATAATATCCTGAAGTACCTGAAAAGGACAAAGGACATGTTTCTCGTCTATGGAGGTGACGAAGAGCTCATCGAAAAGGGTTACGTCGACGCTAGCTTCGACACAGATCTGGATGACTCTAAGTCACAAACTAGATACGTGTATATGTTGAATCGTGGAGCAGTAAGGTGGTGCAGTTGCAAGCAGAGCATCGTGGCGGGATCTACACGTGAAGCGGAATACATGGCACCCTCGAAGGCAGCGCATGAAGCAATATGGATGAAGGAGTTCATCACTGACCTAGGAGTCATACCCAATGCGTCGGGGCCGATCACTCTCTTGTGTGAAAACACTAGAGCTATTTCCCTTGCCAAGGAGCCGAGGTTTCACAAGAAGACCAGGCACATCAAGCGTCGTTTCAACTCCATCCGTGAAAATGTTCAAGATGGAGACATAGATATTTGCAAAGTACATATGGATCTGAATGTTGCAGATCCGTTGACTAAACCTCTTCCGCGAGCAAAACATGATCAACACCAGAACTCTATGGGTGTTCGATTCATCACAATGTAACTAGATTATTGACACTAGTGCAAGTGGGAGACTGTTGGAAATATTCCCTAGAGGCAATAATAAAAGGATTATTATTATATTTCCTTGTTCATGATAATTGTCTTTTATTTATGCTATAATTGTATTATTCGGAAATCGTAATACACGTGTGAATACATAGACCACAACATGTCCCTAGTGAGCCTCTAGTTGACTAGCTTGTTGATCAACAGATAGTCATGGTTTCCTGACTATGGACATTGGATGTCATTGATAACGAGATCACATCATTAGGAGAATGATGTGATGGACAAGACCCAATCCTAAGCATAGCACAAGATCGTGTAGTTCGTTTGCTAGAGCTTTTCCAATGTCAAGTATCTTTTCCTTAGACCATGAGATCATGTAACTCCCGGACACCAAAGGAGTGCTTTGGGTGTACCAAACGTCACAACGTAACTGGGTGACTATAAAGGTATACTATGGGTATCTCCAAAAGTGTCTGTTCGGTTGACACGGATCGAGACTGGGATTTGTCACTCCGTATGACGGAGAGGTATCTCTGGGCCCACTCGGTAATGCATCATCATATTGAGCTCAAAGTGACCAAGTGTCTGGTCACGGGATCATGCATTACGGTACGAGTAAAGTGACTTGCCGGTAACAAGATTGAATGAGGTATTGGGATATCGACGATCGAATCTCGGGCAAGTAACATGCCGATTAACAAAGGGAATTGTATATGGGGTTGCTTGAATCCTCGACATCGTGGTTCATCCGATGAGATCATCAAGGAGCATGTGGGAGCCGACATGGGTATCCAGATCCCGCTATTCGTTATTGACCGGAGAGCCGTCTCGGTCATGTCTACGTGTCTCCCGAACCCGTAGGGTCTACACACTTAAGGTTCGGTGACGCTAGGGTTGTAGAGATATTTATATGCAGCAAACCAAAAGTTGTTCGGAGTCCCGGATGAGATCCCGGACATCAATACGAGTTCCAGAATGGTCCGGAGGTAAATAATTATATATGGGAAGTCGAGTTTCGGCCATCGGGAAAGTTTTGGGGGTTACCTGTATTGTACCGGAACCACCGGATGGGTCCCGGGGGTCCACCGGGTGGGGCCACCCATCTCGGAGGGCCCCATGGGCTGAAGTGGGAGGGGAACCAGCTCCTGGTGGGCTGGTGTGCCCCCCCTTGGGCCCCCCTTGCCCCCCTGCGCCTAGGGTTGGGAACCCTAGGGGAGGGGGCGCCTCCACTTGCCTTGGGGGGCAAGGCACCCCCCTTGGCTGCTGCCCCCCTAGGAGATCCCATCTCCTAGGGCCGGCGCGCCCCCTGGGGACCCTATATATAGATGGGGGGAGGGAGGGCAGTCACACCCTTGCACTTGGCGCCTCCCTTCCCCCTTGCTACACCTCTCCCTCCCGCACACACTTGGCGAAGCCCTGCCGGGATCCGTGCTGCATCCACCACCACGCCGTCGTGCTGCTGGATCTTCATCAACCTCTCCTTCCCCCTTGCTGTATCAAGAAGGAGGAGACGTCACACAAACCGTACCTGTGTTGAACACGGAGGTGCCATCCGTTCGGCGCTAGGATCTCCGGTGATTTGGATCACGATGACTACGACTCCCTCAACCCCGTTCTCTTGAACGCTTCCGCTCGATCTACAAGAGTATGTAGATGCTTTCCTCTCTCTCGTTGCTAGATGAACTCATAGATTGATCTTGGTGAAACCGTAGGAAATTTTTATTTTCTGGAATGTTCCCCAACACTGGGGTGGCCGGAGTTGTCGCCGGCGATGACCTCGGCAGTTGCCGGAGCTCGGGTGAGCTCGGGATCGAGGCTACGGTGGATGAGTCGGCATGTGCGAGGCATCTACGGTCCCTACGAGATGCGGTGAGGTCAGTGGACATGACGACGGGGCCGTTGCGTGGCCGGAGCCACGTCGGCGGCGAGCTCAGGCGGCGGCGCGAGCGGGTGTGCTTGGTGCGGCGACTACGGCGAGTGGCAGAGAGAACGGAGAGGGGGAGGATAGTCAGTGGCTCACGGCGGATGCAGTGGTGGCTTCGGCGTGCTCGGGGAAGCACCGGAGCGAGCGCAGCGGCGACGGGGATCTTCGGCGGCCGGCGACGAAGATGATGAAGATGGCGATGATGTGGGGCCTCCGACGCAGTGTAGCTCGGTGGAGAGGACGAGGAATATGCGGCGGAGCTTCTGGACTACTCGAGGGGGCGAGGGAGAGGCGATGGCCACGATGGTGCTCGTCGATGGCGGCGGACGCGTTCGGTGAGATGGGGAATGGTGAGGGAGAGAGAAGGGGGGAGGAATGATAGGCCGGATCTATCGGGACGACACCGAGGAGGAAAACCCGCGGCGTGGCGCTATCCCGGGGACGCAGGCAGGCAGGCAGGTGGCGTGGCAGCACGGCCGTGCGCGCGCGTCAGGCATGCGCTCGGCGTCCGACTGGCGCGGTGGAGATGACGACTGGCAGTTGGGCCAGTGGGCCGCACTGCTAGGCTGGGTAAGTGGCTAGGTATTCTCTCTCGCTCTCTCTTTCTAATTCTTTCTGTTTTCTATTTTTCTACAGCTTTGTGGCTTTATTAAAATACTAAATCAATCCCAAAAATCATGCAACTGCTCATGACCACTGTTGAAAATATATCCTATAGTAAACATTTCAGTTTGGGATTATTTGAGCATTTAAATTATTTAATAGCATTTAAATGGCCAAATGCAAATACTATATGATTTAATTCAGCGACCAAATATGTCATGGAAAAATGTGCAACACCTCTGGTTATGGTTCTAGCATTTTCCAGAAATGATGAACATTTTTGAAAGCCATTTGGACTCACTGAAAATAGTTTAGTTGAACCTAGTGAATTCCTTTAATGCTAGGGTTTAGGCAATCCCCATTTCAGGTTTCTGTAAAAGTAAACATGATGCATCACCAAAGACTAGCACTAGTGCATTGCCAGAAGCTAGGGATGTGACAACTCACCCCCACTAAGCAAGAATCTCGTCCCGAGAATCAATCTTAGGGTAAGATGAAGGGGGAACACAAACTAGTATAATCTTCACGATCCAGGGTGCACTTCATAAGAACGTTGATTCGATCACCATGATTGTCTCGAAGTCTTGCTCTGAGAACTCCAACTAACATGACAACGAGAGGGAAAGAAAGACTCTAGAAGGATCGATCTTATCGAAGGTCGAACAACTTAGGATCAACTCATGGAATGAGACATAGCAACATCTCTCGAGCTGAGACATGAAGCATACATCTGAAGGGATGGAGTGAGACAGATGGCGAGGGTTCACTAGGTAAACAACAATTTCACGCTTAAGAAGGTAGTGAACGGTTGTCAACGTAGCGAGGATTTGAGTTTCCATGACATCCCAACGGAACACCTTAGAGGAGGGTGACCCGTAGAATTATTCCCTAAGTGGCAAAAGAATTACTTTTGATTCAGAGATCAATAAAATCCTCTATACCAGCCTGAGGCAATTCTCGAGCAATCGTTTGAAGGAGTTCGGTAGAATGGCATACACGGACTGGAATGGATGATGTGGATTACCTTGTTGAAGACAACGCAATGGATGATTTTGCTTATCATCGGAGATGGATAGGACCCATGGTAGGACCACATATGAAAATGATCCTGATCAGTAATTACCGAGAAGGGTAATCCAGGGTAGGATGGCACGATGGCGTGCAAGCTGGAAAACAAGGTGCAAATGCTGGGAATGATTCTAGTAATTGGGGAGAGGCTCAACAGTAGAGAGTGAGTCCGCTGTTGAAAAGTTATAGCATAACCAAAGAAACTGGGAGCAATCCCAGTTAGTGTTGATGATAACACCTAGTGCTTGTGCGTGCTTTCAAGAACTTGAGCATTTGCATATTCATCAAGGTTTTACCAATATCCATGTCAGGGAACCTGGCAACACAACTTACTACCATGATGAATGGTGATGGATGATGTAGATGCAAAGGAAGATAAC